TTTTTTTTTTTTATAAATCTGCAAAAATGTCAACAATTCTGTGTTTTTCTGCCAATATGGGGTGCTGTGTACATTAATGAGGGAAAAAAATTAACTTAAATGATTTTAGCAAATGGCTGCAATATAACAAAAAGTGAGACATTTAAGGGGGTCTGAATACTTTCCGTACCCACTGTACATGACACCCAATTACAATACAGATTAACCTAATGGTGTTTAAAGAAATAGTTCACCCAAAAATAAAAATGTCCTGAAAATGACCTCCTCGGGCCTTCCAAGAGGTGTGTCACCAGAGTATATCAATGAAAAACAAACCTGCATATGACATCTATTTAGTTTTTATCAGATCTTTATTTTCTCACAGGGGTGGACCTTGTGGCACAGTTCGAGCAAGAGTAGATCAGAAAATCCTGCTCAGGAATTGAGGACCTTATTGGTGTACTGGAGTGTCCCATACAAAATTCTCACTGACTGCACCTTAATCGCTGATATTAAAGGTGCCAGCATACATACATGCATCCGTTTGACATGAACAGAGAAAAGAAATATGGAGCAGACTGAAGAAACAATTCATCCCGGTCCAACCCACCTCAGAAAAATCAGGCAAGGTACTATGATCTGTTCAAATGCTTTCAACTAAAATATTTACTTATTGTTCAATGGAGGTATTTAACATCAAAGGCGGTTAGAGATCATTGGGCTAATCAATCATGGATGACTCCATATTGCTATCAATACTTCATGTACCATTTTGTTCCAAAGAATCTGTAGGTGGCAAAGTCTCTGAAACAAGACTTAGGAGGCTTCTGCAACAAAAAATAATGTGTAGCTTTGCAAAACCACCCCCTGGAATAAAATTAACTGCCATGAAATGGAATGCTCATGGAGTGGCGAATCCTGCGACTCACTAGTCAAGTTAGGCAGCACTGCAACCGGGATCTTGGAGTGAGCGTCAATGCACAATGGCTTCTTCCTGGCATTTACTCGCTCTTAAGCTACAACTACCCCAAACTTGCACGAGAGGGACGCCTCGACCTGGAATTCCTCCCAAACTTCCTTTCTGTTGTGCCATAATGCTTTCAAAGTTATCAAGTAAACGTGCAATTTAAGCATTATCTTAGTCATGAAAACAATCAGATTTGTACGAAAAAAATTAAAAGAACATTAGTAGGAATACAGCATAGAAAAAGACAGATAAGAGATTAGACATGATGCTGAACACTTGATAGCTCCTCCACACACACACAAACTCACTCAAGTTCTTCAAGAGAGTCTATCAACCCACACACTCTTTCTAAAGTTCACACGCATCTCGCCAATATGAGCAGGCACACTAGTGTTTGGAGAGCTCGTTTGATAACCAGTCCAGCCCTTCATAGAGTCCGGTGCCTTGTGTAGCGCAGGTCGCTTGAACATACCACTGTGGAAACAGACAACGGACAATCAGAAAGCAGCTGATGTTTAAGCAAGTGCATGTTAGAGTCAATTGAGTAAGTGTGTGTACCGTTCTACTGCGTAGACTCTGCAGCCCAAGTTTGTCTGTGAGTTCACTGACAGCCATGGCGTTAGGCAGATCCTGTTTGTTTGCGAAAACCAGCAGCACGGCGTCCCTCAGTTCATCTTCTTGCAACTGTATAAATGGAAAAAGGTCAATAAATCAAGAAATATATAAATAACAGGGCTCAACAAGAATGGTAGGGGAAAAGTGTGAGCTGTGGGCCACTGATTGCACATTAAACAAGTAGTATTTTTGTAATAAAGTATTATGTGAATAACAAAATTATGAATAATATAAATGCTAAAATATATAAAGTCATACACATATATATATATATATGTGTGTGTGTGTGTGTGTATGAGAGAGAGAGAAATAATTATTTGTGGAAAATGTTCACTCAAAAACTGAGGTGCATATGCTCAGATCAATGGGGCCTATGATCAATTAATTTCAGAAAACAATACAAAACCTGTGCTAATTGAAACAGAATTTGGTAATAATATTGCATAATGAGAAATAACCAATTTTTGTAGGCATGTCACTTTTGAAACCCAACACAAAGTCCCTATCCCCCCCCCTTCTTTTTTGGGGGGGATTTTGGAAAGTTGTTACACCATGTGTGAACAAAGTCAGTAAGCAATAACATTAACTAGTAATTTCGGGATGCTAGTCAAAATGACTAGGTTCAAAATGACTGGAACACAAGAGGGTTAAAAGCACAAGCATAACACAAGTGTAACACAAGCGTCACAAACATATTACATGGACTTTTCTCAAGATGCTTTGGTAAGAAAATGTCCATCAAGAACAAATGTAAATGTAAATACATTTTGTAACGTGATCTCAATTCAGGTCACTGACAGGTTTTCGAGTGCAATACAGATTTGATGTAATATCCAAAGATTAAATTGAACGCTGAAAATGGAGCAATTCTTACCATTTTAGAAAGCTCTTCTGCAGATTCGGCCACTCTCTCTCTGTCATTGCTGTCCACAACAAAGATCAGACCCTGAGGACAAAGGAATAAAAAATAGCATGCTTCAAATTAATAATTACCACAAATGCACCCAAGTTATAAAAGATCACAGTACAACCCAACCAATGTATTACACTTTAAGGTGATTTTAAACCAGGATGCTCAAACAGCACAGATCCTGTAACTGATCTAATATAAGTTGCTTTGAATAAATGCATCCAGAAACCGCTAAGTGGCACTTTGGCCACCAAAACGTCTTTAAATAAAGACCATACCTGTGTGTTCTGAAAATAGTGTCTCCAGAGAGGACGAATCTTGTCCTGGCCACCGACATCCCACACGGTGAAGCAGATGTTCTTGTATTCAACAGTCTCTACGTTAAAACCTATCCATGAGCAGAAAAAAAATGCAGCTTTTAAAGAACACTTTACTCAAGGTGCATCATAACATCAAAATATATTTGACTGGCAACAACGAGATTTGTGATACACAAATACATCAGCCAGTCCAATTTAATTAGGCTGTGAAGAGATTATCAGCTGATGACTGTGTCTAATTGACCCTTTGGTCCCTCGGTTACTGTAGTTCACTAAGAAACAATGTGAAAGTGCACCTGAAATACAGTTTTACCATACTGTCGATTATGATAATGTGGCAGACAGTGACAGTTGCTAAGGTAGGATTGGTCAGTGATGTTTTTTAAGGCAGGGTTTAGTGGCAGGTAAATTAACAGCAGAAGCCATCCAGCCTTCGGTCAGCTCCAATACCTACTGTTAACGGATATAATACTTGGTATTTTCAACTATTTTGATACATTTTGAATAAAAATAAGTTTATTTAATATCCGTAATTTCATTTTTTTTGTGTGTATACTGTCAATAAATTATCAATGCTGAAAACTTTTTTTTGAAGGATTATGTAATAAATTACACTTTAAAATATAAAGAAAATATATAGCAAAATAGAAAAGTTACTTTCAATTTTTATATTTCACAATACTGTTTTTACTGTAATTTTGGCTAAATAAATGCAGCCTTGGAAGGCAGAAGAGACTTTTTTTTTTAAATCATAAAAAAACCAACTAATTATTCCAAAGTTTGACCAGTGTACATGTAAATTGTAAATAATAGCCACAAAAAAAAAAACATTATTTCAGTTGTAAATGCATTGGCAGTGACATAAAAGACATCAAAATGATGAGAATCCTAAATCAGATTCACATAAATCACATTAAGATTTAATAACGAGCTCCTCCTTTTAAATGAACACTTTACATTGTGAAAGAGGGAGTAGAAAATGGAGAACAATCACAGTAATGATTGTGTAATCTCACCTATAGTAGGGATAGTGGTCACAATTTCCCCCAGCTTCAGCTTGTAAAGTATTGTGGTTTTACCTGCAGCGTCCAAACCCACTGAAAAATAAAACATGTAAGAAAAGACATTTAGCTGTCAAATTCATTACAGCCGTGTGATTTATTTCTGATTTGATCTATTCATGCAAGCTCTATCTGAAGCTAGCAAGCTAACATTAGCCACTGCCCAAGAAATATCACACTCATTGTTGAATTCCAATGTGTAAATTAATAATAAAAAGCCAATTTATAAATAATTTCATCTTACACTTAAATATGATCCCTTTTGTCTGAAAAATGAATATTTACCACAGAAGTACATCAGAAAGACAGTGTAATGTGCTTGAAACACTCACCCATCAGTATTCTCATCTGTTTCTTGCCGAAAAGTCTCCCAAAGAGCGATGAGATGGTCAGACCCATGATGACTTAAAAGAAAACCCTAAACCCTAACAATAAGCGAAACAGTAAAGAAAATGTGAGAATGTATTTTAATGAATATTCTGTCTCTCTCTTTGTGCGAAGTGTCTCGCGGTCGGTTGACGCGTTGCCACGTAAGAAGAGGAGCCACCGTGGAAGACTTGGCGTCACTTCCTGCTGCGATCGCACTCCGGCCAGTGATGTCATAATTATTCATAACTTCTAGTGATGGGCGTATAGGTGTGTTTTATTTACCAGTGATTTTGTTTATTTAAAATAATAATAATAATGCGTACAAATGCATTGAATTGGACGAATAACCTTTGTTAGCGAGTAATTGTGTAGGATAGAACTATTTTCCTGCTCATCTGAACACATGCAAATGTTGCAAGAAAGAACCAATCCATCACACAGAGCGTTCACTCACTGCTGACAGCGCATTCAAACAGGGCTGCGTCTCCCAAAGGTATCATAAGAAAGCATTCAAGCTTTTGGGAACAGCAGCCCTGAACAATGCTAATCAGAGGACAGAAAAAAACATATGTTTGAGTTGTTTCACAATAAACAAATTGAAATCGTAGCCTACATAGTTTGTGCAGTTACATTTATTTAAAGTGAACGTTGAAAGATAATATAGATCATGTTCTATTCTGTAATGTTAATAGAAATCATACACTGTCAGAGCAAAAATTTTGCATTTTATGCATGCAACAGCCATTCACTGGCAGTCCCTTATGATAATGAACCATGGTTTTACTAAAGTGACCATAGTTCAACTGTAGTATTTGTAGATTTGAATCATGTGTAAACAAAAAACACATTTGAACCACGTGTAAACAAAAATATAACCTAATAAATTACAATTAAGGCGTATCGAATGTTAAAATGTGTTTTAAACAAAGTTAAGTGGTTATCATTACCCATTTTACTCTTAGTAATTTAATAATTTAATACATTTCATCATTTAAAAGTTTAGTTCAGAAGTATCGTATCGGTATCGATATCGACGATACTGCCTTGAAAAATATCGGTATCGTATCGAAAACAATATAAGTGGTATCGCCCATCCGATATTTTCTGAAACTCCCACTTGCTTTTTATTGTCTGATGACTATATGTATCCACGCCGAATCTGAATGTACTGGACAATCTTGTTTTTTTTTTATCTTTGTTGTTTGTTTGTTATTAAGCAAAAAACAACATCTAAATTCATAACAGAAATCCATGTAACGTTTTCGTTCGTTCATTAATTCACTAATATTGTTGTTGTTGTTATATCAAATGGAAAAACACATATTTTACATTGGTATTTTTATTAATTAATTATTTTTTATTATTATTGTTGGTTTTCGTTTTACAACAATCAAGCTGATGTGGTATTGTATGAGTTTTATGTATTTTATTGTTTGTGACTGAACACTGACAGCCATGGCGTTAGGCAGATCCTGTTTGTTTGCGAAAACCAGCAGCACGGCGTCCCTCAGTTCATCTTCTTGCAACTGTATAAATGGAAAAAGGTCAATAAATCAAGAAATATATAAATAACAGGGCTCAACAAGAATGGTAGGGGAAAAGTGTGAGCTGTGGGCCACTGATTGCACATTAAACAAGTAGTATTTTTGTAATAAAAAAAGTATTATGTGAATAACAAAATTATGAATAATATAAATGCTAAAATATATAAAGTCATACACATATATATATATGTGTGTGTGTGTGTGTATGTATGAGAGAGAGAGAAATAATTATTTGTGGAAAATGTTCACTCAAAAACTGAGGTGCATATGCTCAGATCAATGGGGCCTATGATCAATTAATTTCAGAAAACAATACAAAACCTGTGCTAATTGAAACAGAATTTGGTAATAATATTGCATAATGAGAAATAACCAATTTTTGTAGGCATGTCACTTTTGAAACCCAACACAAAGTCCCTATCCCCCCCCCTCTTTTTTGGGGGGGATTTTGGAAAGTTGTTACACCATGTGTGAACAAAGTCAGTAAGCAATAACATTAACTAGTAATTTCGGGATGCTAGTCAAAATGACTAGGTTCAAAATGACTGGAACACAAGAGGGTTAAAAGCACAAGCATAACACAAGTGTAACACAAGCGTCACAAACATATTACATGGACTTTTCTCAAGATGCTTTGGTAAGAAAATGTCCATCAAGAACAAATGTAAATGTAAATACATTTTGTAACGTGATCTCAATTCAGGTCACTGACAGGTTTTCGAGTGCAATACAGATTTGATGTAATATCCAAAGATTAAATTGAACGCTGAAAATGGAGCAATTCTTACCATTTTAGAAAGCTCTTCTGCAGATTCGGCCACTCTCTCTCTGTCATTGCTGTCCACAACAAAGATCAGACCCTGAGGACAAAGGAATAAAAAATAGCATGCTTCAAATGAATAATTACCACAAATGCACCCAAGTTATAAAAGATCACAGTACAACCCAACCAATGTATTACACTTTAAGGTGATTTTAAACCAGGATGCTCAAACAGCACAGATCCTGTAACTGATCTAATATAAGTTGCTTTGAATAAATGCATCCAGAAACCGCTAAGTGGCACTTTGGCCACCAAAACGTCTTTAAATAAAGACCATACCTGTGTGTTCTGAAAATAGTGTCTCCAGAGAGGACGAATCTTGTCCTGGCCACCGACATCCCACACGGTGAAGCAGATGTTCTTGTATTCAACAGTCTCTACGTTAAAACCTATCCATGAGCAGAAAAAAATGCAGCTTTTAAAGAACACTTTACTCAAGGTGCATCATAACATCAAAATATATTTGACTGGCAACAACGAGATTTGTGATACACAAATACATCAGCCAGTCCAATTCAATTAGGCTGTGAAGAGATTATCAGCTGATGACTGTGTCTAATTGACCCTTTGGTCCCTCGGTTACTGTAGTTCACTAAGAAACAATGTGAAAGTGCACCTGAAATACAGTTTTACCATACTGTCGATTATGATAATGTGGCAGACAGTGACAGTTGCTAAGGTAGGATTGGTCAGTGATGTTTTTAAGGCAGGGTTTAGTGGCAGGTAAATTAACAGCAGAAGCCATCCAGCCTTCGGTCAGCTCCAATACCTACTGTTAACGGATATAATACTTGGTATTTTCAACTATTTTGATACATTTTGAATAAAAATAAGTGTCTCTACGTTAAAACCTATCCATGAGCAGAAAAAAATGCAGCTTTTAAAGAACACTTTACTCAAGGTGCATCATAACATCAAAATATATTTGACTGGCAACAACGAGATTTGTGATACACAAATACATCAGCCAGTCCAATTTAATTAGGCTGTGAAGAGATTATCAGCTGATGACTGTGTCTAATTGACCCTTTGGTCCCTCGGTTACTGTAGTTCACTAAGAAACAATGTGAAAGTGCACCTGAAATACAGTTTTACCATACTGTCGATTATGATAATGTGGCAGACAGTGACAGTTGCTAAGGTAGGATTGGTCAGTGATGTTTTTTAAGGCAGGGTTTAGTGGCAGGTAAATTAACAGCAGAAGCCATCCAGCCTTCGGTCAGCTCCAATACCTACTGTTAACGGATATAATACTTGGTATTTTCAACTATTTTGATACATTTTGAATAAAAATAAGTTTATTTAATATCCGTAATTTCATTTTTTTTGTGTGTATACTGTCAATAAATTATCAATGCTGAAAACTTTTTTTTGAAGGATTATGTAATAAATTACACTTTAAAATATAAAGAAAATATATAGCAAAATAGAAAAGTTACTTTCAATTTTTATATTTCACAATACTGTTTTTACTGTAATTTTGGCTAAATAAATGCAGCCTTGGAAGGCAGAAGAGACTTTTTTTTTTAAATCATAAAAAAACCAACTAATTATTCCAAAGTTTGACCAGTGTACATGTAAATTGTAAATAATAGCCACAAAAAAAAAAACATTATTTCAGTTGTAAATGCATTGGCAGTGACATAAAAGACATCAAAATGATGAGAATCCTAAATCAGATTCACATAAATCACATTAAGATTTAATAACGAGCTCCTCCTTTTAAATGAACACTTTACATTGTGAAAGAGGGAGTAGAAAATGGAGAACAATCACAGTAATGATTGTGTAATCTCACCTATAGTAGGGATAGTGGTCACAATTTCCCCCAGCTTCAGCTTGTAAAGTATTGTGGTTTTACCTGCAGCGTCCAAACCCACTGAAAAATAAAACATGTAAGAAAAGACATTTAGCTGTCAAATTCATTACAGCCGTGTGATTTATTTCTGATTTGATCTATTCATGCAAGCTCTATCTGAAGCTAGCAAGCTAACATTAGCCACTGCCCAAGAAATATCACACTCATTGTTGAATTCCAATGTGTAAATTAATAATAAAAAGCCAATTTATAAATAATTTCATCTTACACTTAAATATGATCCCTTTTGTCTGAAAAATGAATATTTACCACAGAAGTACATCAGAAAGACAGTGTAATGTGCTTGAAACACTCACCCATCAGTATTCTCATCTGTTTCTTGCCGAAAAGTCTCCCAAAGAGCGATGAGATGGTCAGACCCATGATGACTTAAAAGAAAACCCTAAACCCTAACAATAAGCGAAACAGTAAAGAAAATGTGAGAATGTATTTTAATGAATATTCTGTCTCTCTCTTTGTGCTAAGTGTCTCGCGGTCGGTTGACGCGTTGCCACGTAAGAAGAGGAGCCACCGTGGAAGACTTGGCGTCACTTCCTGCTGCGATCGCACTCCGGCCAGTGATGTCATAATTATTCATAACTTCTAGTGATGGGCGTATAGGTGTGTTTTATTTACCAGTGATTTTGTTTATTTAAAATAATAATAATAATGCGTACAAATGCATTGAATTGGACGAATAACCTTTGTTAGCGAGTAATTGTGTAGGATAGAACTATTTTCCTGCTCATCTGAACACATGCAAATGTTGCAAGAAAGAACCAATCCATCACACAGAGCGTTCACTCACTGCTGACAGCGCATTCAAACAGGGCTGCGTCTCCCAAAGGTATCATAAGAAAGCATTCAAGCTTTTGGGAACAGCAGCCCTGAACAATGCTAATCAGAGGACAGAAAAAAACATATGTTTGAGTTGTTTCACAATAAACAAATTGAAATCGTAGCCTACATAGTTTGTGCAGTTACATTTATTTAAAGTGAACGTTGAAAGATAATATAGATCATGTTCTATTCTGTAATGTTAATAGAAATCATACACTGTCAGAGCAAAAATTTTGCATTTTATGCATGCAACAGCCATTCACTGGCAGTCCCTTATGATAATGAACCATGGTTTTACTAAAGTGACCATAGTTCAACTGTAGTATTTGTAGATTTGAATCATGTGTAAACAAAAAACACATTTGAACCACGTGTAAACAAAAATATAACCTAATAAATTACAATTAAGGCGTATTGAATGTTAAAATGTGTTTTAAACAAAGTGGTTATCATTACCC